ATATATCATGATTCAAAACATAAATTACATCATACATTATCATTTTGTTTTTTAATTATGAATTTATAAGTTGTATTTTCCCTATTCAAGAAAGGAATACATAGTGAGTGGACCAAGCCGAACTCTGTCTGGCAAGTATAAGTTATTTTTTTCAATTAATATTTTATTCATTTATTCAGTTCATTAATTTATTTATTTAATCATTCATTCAGATTCCAATTTAATTTAATAAATTCTGATTTCAATCCAGGTCATTAAATTAATTTATTCAAGTCCATTCCAAACAATTGCAAGCCATTCCATTCTATTCCTCAATTAAATTTATATCATAATGCATTCAAAGTAGTCTAGATTGTATACTCATTCATTCATTTCTAGTTTAATTGTTGAAATATGTAACACAACACATGATGTTACAATTAAATTAATCAAATAAATACATTCACATTATTTTATTAAACCAAATCACTATTAATAACAAGATTATTACAGAGAAATTGATTAATCTGTAATTAACTATCTGACATAATTTTTTTTTAATTTTTAAGAGACAAAGAAAATATAAATAAACTTCAATAATTGATGAAAAAAATAACAAATTTATCACTAAAAAAAAAACAAAACAAATATCAGCAAACATATTAATTTCTGTAAACTTCATTAGATATTCAAATTAATTTCATGGTCTAGTTACACTGTTTAAATGGCAGATATTACTTGAAAACTCATTAAAAAACCCCCAAAGCTAAGCTAAATTTTGATGTTTAATTAAACTGTTTACTATAGTGTACGAAGAGTAATCTTTTCATATTTTCCTAATAAAGAAACTAGTAATCTTCTTGAACTGAAATCCTTGATAATAGAACCTGGTTATATGATAATAGAACATGAGTTCTATTATCAAGGATTTCAGTTCAAGAAGGTTACCAGTTTCTTTATTCAGAAAATATGAAAAGATTACTCTTCGTTTAAACAAAGCCGATTTGGATTTTAATTTTTTACATAATTGCAAGGCATTCGGAGTTTTTCCTAAATTAAAATATTTTTTTTAATTTAAATTTATATATATATTGCAGACAAGCAATTTAACATGGAAGTTATACAGCAGTCTGGTGGCTCTTTGTGTGTCTGCTACCAACATCCTGTTCAGAAGTCTGATGAGTCTAGGCCTAGATCTGCATCAGATTATCCTTCTGTCAGGCTAGACACGCCATCTTCATCCAGTGAGAAAGATACAGATGACGACTGCCCAAAGGACTTGGGCCTAGTTGTTCGCTCAAAGTCATTTGATGAAAGGCAAGGAAGCAGGGAACTGGTTGATATGAAGTACTCCATCTTGGTGGTGCATCATGGGTTGATTATCAATGCAAAGGTCCCGGCTGTTTCTAGGACTGTGGCTGAATCCACACGTCTTTATTTCTCGTCATTAGGTGATTTTAATACTAATGGCTAATATTTATGTAAAATATCCTGTAAGATCATACCATAGATTTACAAATAGTACATTACGCTTCTGTTCAGGCATTTTCAACAGACATAACAATAATAAATTTATTGAGGATAAAAAAAAATAAATAAATAATAATATCATAGAATTTCATTATTAGAAAGATTAGTAAGAAAGAATTGCATAGGCCTAAAGTAGTAAACTTTTTTTCATAAATTTTCATGTTTGTATTTCTTTATAGATGGTTACATTTTGGTTTATGCTCCACGATTGCTTTCTCACTTAGTCAATGTCACTCCTGAAATAAACCCTTGTCTCCATATTGCGCTGCATGGTAACACAGTAACAGATACACCAATCAGGAACGGACATGTGCCGTCAAACTCACAGAACCTAACCCACTTAATGAGAGAGAGGACGGCCAGTTTAAATGGTAAGATCTGCATACATTATATTAATCTGGTCTTCCATTAGCGAATTTATTTGTACGAACCGTTGTTTCTTTATTTCAGTCATTATTATCCTTTATTATTATTGTTATAATGTAGAAAGACTGATCTTCTGATATTTTTTTTTCTATATTCAAGGTGACTGTGTTTTCAATAACCAATCAGGGAAAGCGTTTAAAATAACTATCTGTAAAGAAAGCTTAGTTCAGACGTTTATGGAGCACACAAGTCTCTCACAACGTCTCGCTATCATTCATTTTCTAATTTTACATCTGAAGGACCCAGCTTTGACAAAAAAGGTAAGTAATTGTAGAAAAAATGCTAACATTTTTTTTTTCTTTCTTGCTAATATAAACCATAGGCAAGCGTGCCGTTCAAACCAGCGCCGATATTATGGCTGTAGCTTGTGGTGCCCCCGCAAACCCCTTGGTTTTTTAACTCGCCAAGTTTTTTTTAGGTTTAATACCACTATGCAACTGTAAAGAAAATTGCAATATGCAGTAATATCAGAACTAGTACAAGTAAAAGATACTATACCTGGTACTATGCAGTACCAGAACCAACCAATATATACTGTACCTTGTACCAGAACCAGTATACAAGTACCAGTACCAGAAACAGTAAATACATACCTGGTACTACAGCAGTACCAGAACCATGTAAATACATAGCTGGTACCAGTACCTGAACCAGTAAATACATAATGGTATGGTATATACATGCTACCCTGGTTGAACCAATATGTGCCAATTTTTTTTTTGGGAACTTACAACTTTTCCACATATTTGTAGGTGATGAAGGTGCTTTGTGATGACATAGGCAGTCCATACATACCCCAGGTATTTGCAGAATATCTGATTGGCTCAACATTCAATGCCGTCAGACGCAGTATGAATAAGGACGCCCTCAAACACCTATCTTTTACATCCACAGAGGTGTTACGTGGTCAAATTGAACATGTGAGTAAATAACAAGTCAATGTACTGCAATGTGTTATTGTATATTCTTCTAATTTTGTTATTATTTGATTCTTTCTCTTCTAAGTGCAAGATATTTGATATTTTGATTTGAATAAAACATGAGGCAAAAGTCCCCATTAGGAGAAGTGGTCCATAGTGAGCTGTCTGATGGTTGAGAGTGAGCTGTCAAGTGGTCCATAGTGAGCTGTCTGATGCTTGAGAGTGAGCTGTCAAATAGAGGGAGCTGTCAGCAGCTCCATAAACTTAACTTTAATTGGTTTTAAGAATGTCCATTGGGAGTTAACAAGAGAGTCCTGCCAGCAACATTTGGGCTACGGTCACACTAGAGTCTCAAGCCTTGCTTGACTCACCGCTGGTGAGATTTTCGTAATGTGACCGCACCTAGATCGACTCGCGCCTGGCGTGACCTCGATCACAATCTACCGATCTCGATCCTGGCTCAGCACCCAGATTGACCCTGGATTGGCCCTGGCATGACCAGGATTGACATTTCCTCGTCGGCTGTCGACCAATCACAGTCGATGACGCCGTTGCGTTTAGATGTTTTTAAATAAAAAACCTGCGAGTATTATAATAAGACGCAATCATCAGTTGTCATTTATAAATGCAGTTATCAATCCGAAACTAGCATCGCCATTACATTCGGGCCTAGGCCTAGATCATCTGATATACTGTCCATTATCATAGGTCTATGATCTACATCAATTATCCTAACCAGCAACGGTAGTAATGCGATTAACGAAGTCGGGTGCATGTGTTCGTATTCGATTCCAAGGAAGTAAAGATCGACCCCAAGAATGTTTCGCGCGCTGGGCCGGTATTTTGATTGTGGCGGCGCTCTAACTTCCTGTTTCGACTTTCCTAATTTGGAGGTCAATCCAACTTAATTCAGCTAGTGTGACCGACCCAGAATTTCGAGCCTGGCTTGAGACTCTAGTGTGACCATAGCCATAGCCTATAGAATGTAAACAAGAAACCATATCACTCACTTCATCTCATGGGCTTCACTGGAAATAAAAAATTTAAGAACCCATCGCTATTCAACAACCAGCAGGATTTATAACCCGGGTTTTTTTCCAAAAGTCTGGTGCCATGGACCATTTCTGTTAATGGCGAAAAATGCAGCATGTACAATAAAGTAATAACAATTTATCACCCACTTTTCTAAAATAATGGAATTCCCATTTTTTTTTTTTTTTTACAATGTATTTATATCCAATGTTTTGCATAACTGGTAGCTGGGCATACAGTGGTTGCTACTGCGTTTTCATTTTTAAACTACAGAACTCCAGATAAGAAAATCAGTATCTTAAACATTCTATTGTTATTCCTTACTCGAGTCAGCATTATCATCTTGTAGTGCTTGGTGTCCCACTACTAAATTTTTAATTTTTTTTTAATTTGCATACTTTTATTCTGTTTGTTATAATACACACAAGTGTTAAAAATTGTCTACTCCCTTGCTTTAAATAACATATTTAATATTTTCATATTTTAAATCCAAATAAATAAATGCAACTACCGTACTCGCGCGAATAACTGCCCCTTTTGAATAAGCGCCCCCCGAATAACCCCCATTCCTAACGTGAAAATTTCCTTTTGAAAAAATTTTCTTTTTAGCAAGTAATCCAATCAATCCTGGACTCTTTTTTAGGTCAATATCAAAATGAGGATATTTCTCTTGGACAGATTAGAGCTCCGATCCCTGGACAGACAGTATATTTCTAACTTTACACTTTTTACATATTTGTCTATCCTCTTTTTCTTTTTCCGACCTTTAACACGTTCTCATCTGAGTTTTCAAGAAAAAATACAGTGATCCTGCCATCCTGCTAATCTCAATTGGCCGATGTATAACAAGCTAACCACTACCCACCACCATTAATTGCATCTGCTATTTTGCTGTTATGTAAATATTCACGCATTCTTGTCATGAGCCATGTTCTCTGGAGGATTATTTTTTCCGCCTAACCACCATTTGTAATGTCTTTTTCATTCAAAAAGTTCCTCTTGAATTTAATAATTTTCCATAAGAATCCCTCGATTTTCATCTATTTCCATAAGCGCCCCCTCAATTTTCACTCTATTTTCATAAGCGCCCCGTTTGAATAAGCGCCCCTCAGAAAGTGCAAAATATATTTTAATCGCCCGGGCGCTTATTTGCGCGAGTACGGTACTGTATTATTATTTCCTTTGATGACAGCTAAAGTTGCATTGTTTTTTGGACGCAAAGAACTTTTTTTATTTATTGAACTATCGAAAAACAGATGGAATTATTTTTTACGTATTAAATAAAATATTTTCCCTACTGTTTTTGGAATAAAGAGTGGTGGAAGAAGGATTGCTGCTGCATTCATGTACACCAAGTGTCCGGCTGTTTTTGATGCATTTTTTTACAAGGTCAGCAAAAGTTTCCTATTGCTTTTCTTTAAAATTGGCAATATCTCTACATTGAAGTGTGATTTCTTTATAGTAAAGTTAATCCTTACCAAGCCGCTAGGGCTCTTGAGGCTGGCACTTATCCCCAGTTTCTGTAGCTTTAAGGCCTGTTTATAGAGTACTACAGTGCTACATCACGTTATAACGTGATACTACTGCATTGCTATCGTTGCAAAGTGCGTTCAACCGGACGTCATTTTTTCCACTGACGAACAATTGATCCCAATTTCTAATGTAAATATTAAGATGTTTTATCCTACTTTTTCTTTGTAAATTTTAATTGATATTAAATGTGTGTTCAATAACTAATATAATGCGAGCTTTTGTGTTTTTAGTTCATTTTGATAGTAAAATATTAGATATTAAAATGCCAATTCCATAAAGCCTATGAAGTCATTCAGGCGTAATGAATTGTAGCCAGTATCTGTTGACAACAGAGAGCGCCGTCTGGCATCGTGATGACTGTGGTACTCAATACTTGATAAAATGCTAAAAACCACTTGTTCATATAGAAAATTAAAGAAACAAGAGAAGTTTTCACTCAAGCACGATTCGACTTTCTCAAATCAAATCAAATGACGTCATAATCATGGGAAAATGATAAATCGTTATTAACAAGTCGTGCAGGTGTAAGAACTTTTACTTACTTTTTTTTTCTGTATGAACAATTGCTTTTTAGCTGTTTATCATTATCGTTGCTAGTATAACAGGCCTTCAAGCAAATCTGAGTTGATTTGTGTTTTACCATTGCATCTATTATTGTTGAATTGAGGAATGAAAGATGTTGTGTTGTATTGCATTGTGTTGTAAACCAGATGAAATTGTTTACAATTACGGTAATGTAAACTTCATGTGATTTAGCTTTCCTTTTCAAAATAAAGAGTATTTCAGCCACCAGGGCAATGGACCAATGCAAAGAATAAAATTAATTAGTTTTATGAAATAATAGCATATTGTTAAATGTTAAACAATTTCTCTAACATTTCAAACTTATATAAAAAAATGTTTATTGGAGTATGTCTGATAATTCTAGGCTGACAGAAAGGAACGTAGGCAGAGTCAGGTTGGAGTTAACGTCACTCAGTGGGAGAGCATTTATCAATTAGTGCAGTCATTGCAGAAGGGAAAACAGAAGCATCAACAGCAACGCTTTGACTCAACCTCACTTAAGGCTGTGTTAATGTATGACGATTTATCTACACAAACACCAAAGGTATTGTTATCATTGTTCTTATAATCACTTTTCACTCACATTGTTCTTATATGTTTACTTGACATAATATAATTCAAGCATTGTATTTTTTTTATTTATTTCTCTATTGCATCAAACTAAAAAACATCAATAAAATTTAAAATGCAACATTTTATAACTTAAAATGTAATATATAAATCAAAATTAAGAAATAATAATAAATATCAATAAAGCAATACATGAATAATAGTAAAGACCAAAAAAAAAAAACACTGGCCAGAAATTGTTGCCATGTCAAAGGGTAACAACTTTACTTTGGCCAGCTTGTATCATTGTTCCCACTTGGATTCGAATATGCAGTAAGTTTTATTGACCCTTTTGCTAAATGCTCAGCTGTATTGTAGGATGTTGTGAATACTTGATCAGTGTAGTTGTGGAGGCATCCTGTACAAAGTTCAGTACTGTGTGTTGTAGTATCACAGGCTACTGAAAGATTTATTATTATTTTTAATCTAATATATATTACTTTTTTTTATTCCCAACAAATTGATTATAAATCACTGCCCACCTTTCCAAATTATAGCCTGGTTTGTTCTTGTTTTTGTTCACTGGTTGTTCAATTTTCCTTGTTAATTATATATTATTTTCTAACATTCAAAACTGATTCTGATAAAATATTTAAATAATATATTGAAATATTGAAAACTTGAGTGCATAATTTAATCAATTATTATTTATTCATTAAAAAGCTAAATGTAAACCAATAGAAACAAATTTTGCACAAGATCGAAAATTTACTGTATTCACTGGTCGGTGGCAGTTTCAAACCATAAACATAACAATGTAATTCAGTGTAGTGTTTACCGAGGCATAAATGACCTCAGCCTACAGCATCGTCCTGTACGTACTGTAGGTCACAGTACTTTACCAAAAGGGGTGTCCTGTTCAAAAGCCAAAATAATCACTAAATTTAAGTGTTGTAAAACAATTTATTGATTGACATTCAGTATATACAATTTCTTCATTTTAAACTCTATCAGGTATTTGAAACCCTGATAAATTTATTAAAAAACACTATTAATGTATGCTCCAAAAATCTCAGTTTCTCAGAAATAGAATTGTGAAACAAGCCTATACATGGGTGCAACGGCCAACTCTTGGGTTTCACCATTATTCTACAAATGTAAATTGGCCGTATCTGGACAAAATGTATCTTAACATCATTGTCATCTTCATAATATTCTTTAACTAACCATCTATTTTCAAACATTTATTATCAAACTATATCGCACTACTGTATATTTTGCATATAGATACAGCCAATTTTCACGGTCCAAACACGCATTGATGTGGGGTCCTATCTAATTGCATAGGCTTTGATTGTACATTTAATTGCAAACGTAACAAAACCACAAAATTAAATAGTCTGTGGAAAGCATACATTATGTCCAAAACATTTTATTTTAACATATTTACATCTTTTGTAGGCAACAAAATAGTCGTCTATTTGCCCTTACCCCAAAAACAAATGTGTTAGATATGAGTGTTGTAATACAAGCTATTGGCTTAAAAATGGGATAAACTCAACTATTCATACTAATAATCTAAAGACCTGTTTATACTTGCAACGATAACGATAAAAAGCTATTGTTCATATAGAAAATAAAATCGGTAAGAAAAGTTTTCCCACTAGCATGAGTCCATAACGATTTATCATGTATACAATACAAAAATATTTTTGTAAATCAAATCAAATGGCGTTTAATATCATGGAAAATCGATAAAATCGTAGTGGTATCAATGAATTTATCGCTTTCCAATGATTATGATGTCATTTGATTTGACTTGTGAAAATATTGTTTTATCGTATACACATTCGAATCGTGCTAGTGCGAAAACTTTTCTTCTTTCTTTTATTTTCTATGAACAATTGCTTTTTATCCTTATTGTTATGGTTGCAAGTATAAACATGCCTTTATAGTCTCAAGCGTAGAAAACAATTCAGTCTGTGGAAACCTCCTACAATTATTATTTTAAAATATAACATATTAAAGTATACAGATATGTGTTAAGCTTTTGAGAACTTCTGTATACCAATAAAATGGGACCAGTGACCTATGACAAAAATAAGCCTCACAAACACCTGTTTTAAGGAATGTTTGCAGCATTTCGCCGCACGGTCCCCAAACAATATAACAATCAACTGGTACAGCGGTGTTTTACATGGATATTGCTATTGCGGCCATCCCTTGTTTATTGCTTAAAAGATCATCATAATTTCCTGTAAGCTATACTAAATTGATTGGAAATTAAACTTGAAATTTTTGCCTTAATGGTTTGCTAATGCTGTAAAGGATACTGGCTGCAAACATTGAGATTTTTCGACAAATGTTAGGCCTCCTGCACATCTACAGCATTAGTTATGCGTGATGGGCTTCGACCTGCGATCTACTGTGCGATGTTAGGGCTAGCTAAGGTTTACGAAGCATCACTTAAATTTCAAAGCATACAATCCTTTGAGAACGCTAGGATAAGTAAATAAAAGGCAGAACGATTGTACTGCCTTTCCTATCCATTTATTTCTCAACTTTACAGTGGGTGGTTGTTTTCGAAACCATAACATTATCTTTCCTATACTATCGCACTATAATGTTTATTCATGTATACATACCCAAGTTAAGTCACATGACCAGCTGTAAACAAGCATCTATTACATAATATGAGAAAGGTCACAAATTAAACAAGTAACAGATTTAACACTTACTAAAGTTGGCTGGGATTGTTGAACACAGCTCAAAAGCTTATTAACCTATTCTTATTAAATAATACAGATACAGTTGAACTTGCGAAAGTCGATTTCAAAATGCCATTGAAATATTGTTTGACTTACAGATTACACAACAACTTAGCATGTAAAATAAGATCGACTTAAAAATTATTCAACTTAGTCAACTTGTTTAACTGTATACAGTGAAATAAATATAATTTGTCAATTACATGGGTAGACAAATATTAATGAAATTAAATTAAATTATTATCTCATAATAACGTTTGTTCGTTCGTTCATTCGTGTGACTCCATAATCAGTGGAGCTACACAGGTCTTAACGTAGTTTCCTTAATAGCAGATAGTCGCGTATAATGAATTCTAGTTGCTGTTATCAGTTGACTGATAAGACTACAAATTGAAATACATATGATTATTGTAAATTCCAGATTAATCACAATATTATGAGAAAATACAGTCTTCAATGGGAAAAAATACAAATACAGTAATATTTTTTATATTTCAATATTTTATTGTCCAATATATAAAAATATACATTTGTTTTTACACTGCAACATGTAACTCTGAAAAGAGAGAGAGAGACATTTTGAAGATTCAATCTATTTGATCATTCTTAAGAATCATGATGAGAAAACTTAATCTATCTACATATAATTACAGTGTAAAAAGCAAACTTAAAACGGTCTTTAAATGAGGAAATTAAGGAACCACAGTGATTTAGAAATAGGCTGTTTATTTAATGAAGACAATATAAAATCATTAAAATAAGGATATTAAGAGAGGGGTGAGACTTTAGTGTAATTTGGTAGTGCTGTATATCGCAAAAACATCCATGCTGTAATTCAATATCTATTGGCTAGGCTAAAACTACTGCTAGGTGCATCACATCGTCTGCAGAAACCCCAGTGATTTAGAAATAGGCTGTTTGTTTATTAAAGACAATGTAAAATTAAATCATTAAGCAGTACAGTATACAAGATCTGTTGTTTCAATTACATTTATGTAGATTTTGCATTTATTTGCATTTAAAATTATCCTTTTAATTTCTTGTATTTTATTGTCAAAGTCAAAAATTAATTTTATCATCAATCATACACTAAGGTAACATTGAAAATTGTCTTGTACACAGTACAAAATGTAAAAAACATGCATGATAACATAAAAAGATAAACAGGTATTGTTACAAATTCTTTATTAATTACAATACAATGACATTAGAATATGAAATTGTATATATTTATTGATTTTAGAGGGGCAGAATACATCAAGTGCACCCCTTGACAACAAAACAATCGAGGGCAACATATTATATTTTAATAATTAAATATTTTTATTGTTTTGTCACCTTGGTTTGCTACTGCAACTCTTCGTGGGTAATATGAAATGACTGATAATCCAAGTGGAGTTTCAATTCCATCTTCTTGTTTATCAATTCTTTTAATGAAATTTCCATCACTACTGAACAGCTGTATTTTGTGGTCACTTGATATAATAATGTTGTCATCCTGATCAACTACTACTCCACGTGGTTTTATCACCTTCCCATTCTCATCACCTGCTTTGACAAGGACTTTCATGAACCGTCCCTCATTATCAAATAGTTGTACTCTGTTGTTGTGAAAATCCAATATAATAATATTTCTTTGATTAGTAAGAGAAAAATCACTAACTCCATTGATTTGGCCTTCTTGATCGTCATTAGTCCCTATGCTCCTGATCTTTTGTCCGCTGTCAATGTTGAATAGCAACACATTTGACCTAAGTCCTACATACACAATATTTGATGCCTCATCCACATGAATACCAAATGGTTCATTCAATTCCACCTTATTAATGAATTTAATCACTTGGCCATTCATATTACATATTGTGATGCATTTGTTTCCCCAGTTATTGAATGCTATGTTACCATTTTTCATTTTGTACATATTGTAAACTTCCACACCTGCTGGTAGTGTAACATTACCAATACATTCTCCTGATTGCTTGTACTTCAGCATTTTATTTGTTTGACATGAAACCAGTAAGCAATCATCTTCACACTTAACTATATCTTTAATAACATATGTGTTTATTTTAATGGTATTTACTATTCCTTCCTTCTCTACATTGATTGTCACCGGTGACTGCTTAATTGGTTCGCAATCAGCAGTCACATCTAGTTTGCAAATACCAGGACTTGTACATTTACCTGTCACAAAATAATCTCCATTGTCATCTTCATCAACTTCAGTGTTGGAGGTTTCTCCTGTAGGCTGTGTCCATGTTGCCTTCAGTTGATTTGCCTGTATTTCACATTCATCTGTTTTTATTATTTTGACAACAATTGTTTGATCTTGGGTTACAGATTCCATTCCTTGTAACTGTAAACAGTCTGCTGCCCTCACAAATAGTGTAACATTTCCAATAATATTATTGCATTGTTGTAATGAAGCAATTTGAGGCTCATTTATTTGAAATTTAATTTCTGTGTTATCCCTTGGCTTTGTTTTTGGCAGTTTTTTTATTCTGTCATTCATTGCTGTAATTACTGTTTCACTTGATTGCAGGGCTGTTGCTTCATCACTCTTCAATAACTGATTAAGCAAACTAATTTTTTTATTTAAATCAGATATTGTTGTCTTCAATTCACTAATTTGTACATCAACTGCCTTCTTTTTCTCTTTATAGATTGTCTCTACCTCATTTTTCATTTTGTCTCCATTCTCCTTCATTTTCTTGACCATTACTTGCACATGATTATCAATATCTCTCAAACTTGTATCTTTACTTTTTTCTAAGTTCGTAGCATACTGAATGACAGCCTTTAACCCATCTTGCAATTGGTTTTCACATTTATAAGCAGCTTCCTCCAATTTTTTAGACGTTTCTTTAAATGATTGGAATGCTTCTGAAATATTAATTGGTTTGTGCTTTCCTTCCTGCTCCTTGTGATCCATAACTGTACAATTTATACAGATTGGAGTTTTACAATCTGCGCAGTAAAACTCGAAAGGTTTGTTATGAACCGAACACAGCGGTGGATGTAAAGCAGCAAAGTCTTGTGGAGTCATAGATCGCACATCCTCCACTGTATGCAGCTTGTGATTTGCTAACAGAGGAAGTATTTTGTGATGGTTACTACAAGTAGAGCACAAGTAATGTCTGCATTCCTGGCAGTAGTATTTTGCCTGCCCTTTAGCACAAACGCATTTCATCTGATCTCTTTTGGAAATGTGTTCAATAGTTTCCAATAAGTTATTCACAAATGTATTTGGTGGAAGCTTCTTAAGTCCGCCCTCGGGAATGGCATATGAACTTGAGCAGGTTGGACATGTTAACTTACCCTTTACCTTAACCCAGTCTTCCAGACATGCCAAACAGAAACTATGGGAGCAGTTGAGGGATTTAGGGTTCTGAAGTCTCTTAAAGCAAATAGTACACTCCAGGACCTTCTCATCAACAGTTTCCAGAAACTGATTCAATTCACTGGTAGCCATCTTGAACTATTCCTGTCAACAATAATATTTTGAAGTTGAAAATTAATATTGATTAAATTTCATATTTTCATAATTTTTGAATATTTTTCTTATCTATAATATTTATAATAAATATTACAACATACCGGACCACCTTGTAAGGTCTGGTACCTTTTTGCAATAAGTTTTAAATTAATGTAAATAACTACTCATTACTAATATTTGATATAATAATATAATTTATAATAATAATGATATAAATAATATAAATAATATATAAATAATTATATAAAATAATTAAAATAGTAAAATATTAGTAATACTGTAATATAGTAATAATATAATGACAGAATTACTGTATTTCATATTATTAATTATTTTTACTAGTCAGGCAGGAACAGACAGGTTTTTGTCAGTGAAATTTATTTAAATATATTTTTTTGTAAATATTGAAAGCACATTATTATAAATGATATTTAAGTTAAACTTTTTGTCACTGAACACTAAATCTATTCAAACATACACTGACTTCTTCTGATGCCCATGAGAGTAGAGTTAGTATGTTACACAGAATAATTGATATGATAACAGCTACCAAATTAACGTTGAATATGGATGGAAGGTGTCGGTGCACAATAGCTGTTTATTAAATCGATTATGGGACGTGTTTAAAAAAGAAAAAACACAATATTTTAGCAAACTCTGATAATTTTGCAATTATACTGCCGTTTGTCTGTTATTGATGATGCTGTTTTTTTGTGTAGTAGATGGTAGACTGGAGCAAGTCATTGACTGGGAAGACCTAGCCCAAGTGTAGTTGTTATACCAGGGCCTCTACTTTACCTTTTGCTTGTTGTTAATTTAGCAGGTGACTTTGCATTTTCCTGTTTTTCAATTGCAAAATTTTTGTATTAAAAATAAATGTTACCTTTTAAATTAAATGTATCCTGCATTTCAAGCAATTAGATAAACACATACAATTTATGTAGATGAATTATTAAGGTTTCCCAGGTAGGACCACGCCCAACCCCCCACCCCACCCCATAATATCGTGCAAGTTAAAACAACAATACAGTATTTGGTAAATTTTTATATGATTTCATTTCAAACAGAATGATAATAGAAAAATTTTAATAAATGTAAATTATCAAAAATAGTTCAAAACATGTTTATAAAGCCAGATTATTCATGCCCTAGCTAGATAGGCTACCCAGCTGTAATTCTTTGCTAGCTTTCCTGAATACTGCATACCTTTGCATCCATGACAATTTTTTTGAAAAATGTTTCTGAATCGTTATCTACACTAGATCTTAAAAACTCGAATATAATTTTACCTGTTACTGTTGTCTTGGCTTTTCTATGTGGAGCTTTAAGGAAGTGGGTTTTTCCGAGGTTCTGTATTTAATCATGTGACCTGGCATTGTCTGGGTCATTGTGTAGTCTAGCATGACTTGATTAGTCATGCGTAGATGAACCAGCAGAGGTGATTCTGCTATGATATGACATTATTATTATTATTATTATTATTATTATTATTATTATTATTATTATTATATTGTTATTATTATTATTATTATTATTACCACCTCCACCAATTATTAATTAAATTTTAAAGGTTCATGGTCAAAGGTTAAGGTCACAACGTAAAACAATTTAAAAAGATTTATTTGTCTACAGCCCATAGTTTTATTCACAAACTTGTCAAACTTGCTCACAATGTTTCATGACGAAAGATCTCTCATTACCTCCGCCAACGAAGTTGGGAGGATGTTATGTTTTTTCCCCTGTTTATTTATTTATTTATTTGTCTGTTGGCATAGTTTTTGTGAACAGCCCATAGTTTTTATAAGAAATGCGTCAAACTTGACCACAATGTTCCTTTACTTAAGATCTAGAGCTGATTAATTTTTTTAAGTTTCAGGGTCAAAGTTCAAGGTCAATCAATTAAAAACTTGTTTTAATTATTTGTCTTTGCATTTGTCAAAGTTGTTCACAGTGTTCCATGACCGAAGATCTCAAAGTATTTGAATCCATGGAAGGTAAGGTTTGAAGGTCAAGGTCACAATCAACAAAAACAATAAAACACTTTTTATCAGAAATTTTTCAAACTTGGCTACAATCTTCCTTCTGAAATTTGAAAGTGCTGAATTTTGAAGGGTCAGGGTGGAAAGGTCAAGGACACAATAACTGTTTGTCATAGAGGTGTGAGTGTGCTTACAGGCTTGCCGGTAAAGTGTAAACAAACATGACCATTAATTTCATAGTGGTATGTGTGAAAACAGTTTAGTGTAGTGGTTAGAAGAGTGTGTTCCACACTACCAGCCCTGGGTTCAAATCCCAAGTAGTCTACTTGCTTTTTTTCCCCCATTATTTCTTTCATGGTAGGGAGGTTTTCCTTTCTTTTTTTTTCTCTCGTCGAACATGAAAAACAGCAAAACAGAAGAAGAAACAACAGACACCAAAATTGCATACTAAAAATTATGTAATTCTTCTATAGAAGAGCTATCTGTGTACAATAGCTGTTTATATATCGATTATGGGACGTGTTTAAAAGAGAAAAAACACAATATGTTATCAAACTCTGATAATTTTGCGATTATACTGCCGTTTGTCTGCTATTGATGATGCTGTTTTTTTGTGCAGTAGATGGTAGACTGGAGCAAGTCATTGACTGGTTAGACCTAGCCAAAGTGTAGTTGTTATACCAGGGCCTCTACTTTACCTTTTGCTTGTTGTTAATTTAGCAGGTGGCTTTGCATTTTCCTGTTATTCAATTTGCAAATTTTTGTATTAAAAATAAATCATTTACCTGTCAAGTATCCTGCATTTGAAGCAGTTAGAAAAACACATACAATTTATGTAGATGACTTATTGATGTTTCCTAGGTAGGACCACACTCAATTTCTCCCTAGCAAGATAGGCTACCCAGCTGCCTCTTGTATTGGGCCATCTTTGCTAGATTTTTCTGAATACTGCATACCGTTGCAGCCATAACAATTTTGTTGAAATGTTTCTAAACCGTTACCAAAGTTATTTATTGAACCACTATCTAAACTAGACCTGAAAAATTTGAATTAATCTAACCTGTTTACAGTTGTCTTCTGACTTTTCTATGTGCTCTTTAAGGAAGTGGGTTTTTCCCATGTTCTGTATTTAATCATGCGACCTGACATTGTCCGGGTCATTGTGCAGTTAAGCATGACTTGATTAGTCATGCATAGATGAACCAGCAGTGCTGATTCTGCTATAATATATTCCATTATTATTATTATTATTATTATTATTATTATTATTATTATTATTACTACTCACACATACTTGAACTTTAACCGGTGCTGCAGACTTGATAAAATGAGAGTTGCAATTCTAAAGCATCCAATCTAAAATAAAAACATACACACAAAGTTATTCTAACTTTTAAAGTGCATTGAGTATTGATTTTTTGAAAATTTATTTAAAAAATTCTGTACAGCGCCAGTGATCATTTTAATTGGATATTTTTTTATTATTTTTAATACTATCTGTAATTTTGTTAATTAGGTTTTGTGTAGCACATGTATACTGTATCGACTACCTATAAACTCACTGCTTATATTGCTATTGTTCCTGGTGATATAATCTACAGTAGGCCTACTGTACACAATTTACAAATTCTCCTCCTTTCAATCAGTGGTGGCGCCAGAATTTGCACAAGGGGGACCTGTTTTTCTCGACAAAGAAAATGTGGGCGTGTCGCTCAAAATTTCTCAAAAGTGTTCCAGGGGCGAAGCACCCGAAAAAATTATGACAATAGGGGTTTCTAATGAAATTTTATTTAGAAAAGGGAAGGTGTATGGAAACAGAAGTGTTTCAAGAATGACTTAGCTACATGTACATATTTCGGCAGGAACGTAAAATTAGCAATTTTAATAACTCTGTGGTTATACTAACTCATTAGATGATCTCTGTTAATCAGCACTTGGCTGGATAGACTACCTACCACCTTTACAAGTCATTAAGCACACAAACCTTTAGTATTATAACCACAAAACAAAATTACATTTTGTGATTGCTTATAAATACAAAAAGACAAACGTTATAATATTATTAATACAAAATATTATAACCTACTACATTACCTTAGAGACGAGACCCGTTACTGTTACAAGTTGCTGAGCTAAAGTTCTATGTACGCGGAATTACTCAATAACTGTGTTTTTTCCACTGAGTTTTATCTTATATGTTAGCTGACAGTTATTTACATAATGGCGTTACTTGATCTTCAGAAAGATGGCAATGAGAGATTGTTATTATTATCCCAAACCAACAAACTAATCAAAGCAGTACTGTACAGATTTTAACTAAATATAAAAAAACACAATAAAAAATTCACCAGTAAATGTCAACAAAACATGTTCGGTATCTGGAAAAGCCAAACCTACAACATAATATATTCACTACTGTAGATCACTGTGCTTGGTGGTTAGTGTTGAATTTGATTGCTAAGTTGCAGCTGCAATGTTTTTATTTCGATTGAGTTTTCTGATGGGGAACATCTACCAAAATAGCTTTGCTTGTACATAGTAATCGAATTCAACGCTAGTAGCCACTATCACAATCTTGGTGGTTTAGTGGTAATGATACCACACTATTTTTCTGACAGTTGTGGGTTCAAATCCCACCCGAATCCCTTTGCAAGATTGCTTTGGGGATTATTATTGTTTTCTATATTATGTTTTAAAATGGTGTAAGTAAATACCACTCACTTAAAAGTGATTCCAATATAAATCTTATTGTCAATATATCGTCATTATTATTCTTGTTGTTACTGTAATTAATATAGAATATTACAGTAATTAATACTTTAGCCTTTATCAGTATTTTATTACAAGTGATGAACTTTAAATTCATTTTATATTCTTAATATGATATTATTGTAATTAGGAATATTATACAATAACATGATAGCATTCCTGTGATAAGTAGATGTAGTATTCAACGCTTTACTTCAAAAATTCTTTATTGTTCATGTTATTTTTCTTCCAATAATGATGTAGTTTGAAAGATCCAACTCAGTCAGCTACACACCAGAATTCACACGGTCACCCTCAATTATGCAAAAAGTCCGACAGACCGCTAAGAGGGCGCTGTCACCAACATTGAAGAGGAAGACTGGCGTCAGGAATCCTTCTATATTCTACGACTCAGAATCATCAGCTACAGAAATAGACAAGAACTCAAACAGGCTGCAGCAATTGGTAAGTATTGCTGCACTGAATTTGATAAGCCAAGTGGAGCAATTTATTACAATTAATGTGCAGGGACGGATCCAGAATTTGAAAGAGGGGGGTTAAAAATATTTCTAATAAAACCCCAAAAGACAGGGGGGGGGGGGAATTTTTATTCCTAGATGGACAGAAATGAGCTTTCCCGACTTCCAAAATTCAAGGTTTTTTTCCTCTTGAAAAAGGTCAGGTAAATTTATCTCTTCCTATAGAGAAAAGAAATCAAAGACATAGGCCATATATTATTATATTCCAACAATATTGAATAGTTGGATACGTAGTTTTTCTTCCATGGATCGATAAATCAATAGGTATGAAGATGCACTTAATTTTCGTGCATAAATTATTCCGTCGTCGAACAAAAAACAGTATTTGTAATTTGAATTGAAGGCCAGTTCAGCTAAGCCTAGTTTGTCCGATCTGCCAACCTATGCCTATAGGTAGGTTAGCATGCGTTTTGTAATCCAGGACCCAGTAGTATTTTGTTACGCTTCTTCACAGAAAGAGGAGGGGCGGGGGGAGTTTCGTCTGAACCCCATTAATCCGCCACTGTCGTGTCATAAAATTTGAACTACAAATCAAAGATCAATGAAAGTGCCTCAGTGAAGCCTTCCTCTACAAGTTTGTTAAAGCAAACCCCTTTGATAAACTAGATCCACCATCTCCCCTGATCAATAAACTTCAATATAATTATGAAATTTACGAATTTCATTCTAGAAGGCTTCACTCTAGAGGAAGTTTCTGCCCTAACAAGTTATTTTTGTGGCCCCTACCAGCCCATCTAAGTGCCCCAGAACCTCAGGCCAGCTGGCTTTTATTGGAAACTCTGTACTCATCCCAAATCAACAATTAATAAATAACGAATACATTTACAAATTGCAATCTAGAATTCTTGAAGAAGTTTTTAACCCCACAAGAGTTTTTTGCATCAGACCCCACCAGCCCACCTAAGTTTCCCATGAACCTCGAGCTCTTTTAGGAAACTCTGTCCTCCTCATTGGCCTGTAGTGTTAATCATTTCAAAAGCATTCACTTATGATTGATCTCATTTTTGTTGATTTTTTAGATGATAAAGAAATTGACATACCATTTTGAACAGCATTTAAC